ACACACACACACACACACACACACACACACACACACACACACACACAAATACACCATTAAAAATAAAGTAAATCCTTAAAAATTGACTAGCTATGACATATATGTTAATCTGCTTCATTAAACAACAGTTTTATTATCTGTAGCATCATGCCCTCTTCAATAAATATATACAATGGTCTTTTTAAGGTAAAGCGATGCATGTAAATTAAAGGAAATATTTCAATTTAACACAATTGTTTAGTCCCTGGACTGCTGACCTATTTGGACCTTGTAAAACCTTTCAAAGTCAAAGTCTAGCATCAGATCATATGATGTGCTAGGCTTACTCTTTTTGTTCCCTGTTGTTTCACATGGGTCTTCTATTTTTTTTTAAATAAATTATTTATGATATGGCTTCTCAAATATGGGTTGTGATTAAAAGGAAGTATTAGGATTTAATGTTGGGACTGAGCTACCTCAAGCGGGTAAACCCACAGTGCTTGGTAGTTGTTGAGTAGGGTAGAAACTTGTCTTGGAAATTTATAGTAACCAGGGAAGTCCTTGTGAGTTAGGTTCAGCATCAGAGAACACCCAACACTGTTTAGCATGTATGAACGTATGCTGAGCATTCTTGGCCATTTCTAGATCTGTGGACTGAGTGGATAAAGGTAACCTTTCCTCTCCCTTCCTGCTCCTTTCACCCTTTTCTCAGTCAGTCTCCCTTCCCATTCTCAAGCAGTATAGTAACTCAGAATGATGGGATGCTATTTCATGTAAGCTTCTGATATTCTGGCTGGTATTGACTCCACAGCACATGACATAGGCAAAATAAAGAGCTGGAATATGGTGAGACATGTTCATGGTTAATTAGCCAGAGCTACTTGAGTATTGGCCAAACCCAAAGGAAATTAATGACCCAAGGATTAGTTCTGTGAGTCAAGTGTCTCAGTACCAGACTGTAACCACATTGGTCATGTGGAATGTATTCCTCACATGGTTGACATTCTTGTTTCACATGTATGAATGACCAGTACTCTATGGTGTCTCACCATGAGTAACGGCTTCTTCTCTTTCTTTTAGGTGTTTGCCCAACTCTTGTGAGCATGGTGGCGAATGTTCTCAGTCTTGGAGCACCTTCCATTGTAACTGCACAAACACAGGGTACACAGGAGCCACTTGTCACAACTGTAAGCAATACACGCCTGCTTGCTCTTCTGCCCTCTGCTTCCTTTGCATTGCTCTCTCTGGTATCTGTGCCTATGAAACACACGTGACCTTATCCTGGGATACACAACCTGAATTTCAGCATCTATTTGGTTTCTAGTTTATCATCAAAGTGGAAATACATAATACAAAACAAGAAAGAAAGGGGTCAGAGAGTTGGAAAGGTCAAAAAATATATACAGAAAGCTAAAGAGATGAAAATGATCCAGTAAGATGTAGAGTGTGTGAACACCTGTTTCTTGACCTGGACAGCATTTGACTCAGAACTTTCTAGATGTTCAGTATAGGTGAAAAACGATCAGTTATGAGGTTCCTTGTTGATATTATGCAATGAAGATATCCTCAGAAGCAGCGTTGAATGGGCTGGGCTGGGGTGGATCCTGGTATAGAGATTCCCTCAGCAAGAACAATACAACAATCCAATTGATAAGTGATACCATAAACTGCCTGGTACAGTTTAAATTTGTTTCTTATAGTTTGGTGGCTGGAGGTTCAAGTTCATGGGGGTTCAAAGACGTGGCTTCTGGTGAAGGCCTTCCTACTGGTTCACCGGCTGTCATCTTCTCTGTGTTCTCACACAGCCCCAAGAGTACTAGTGCTTTCTATGCTCTCTGGATCCCCTTGCCTATCATGAAGTCTCCACTCTCATGACCTCACCCCTCTCCCAAGACAAGAAGTGCTTCCCCTAAACCATCCTACTAGGAATTAATCTTCTTTATGTGAATTTTGGGGAGTTGCAAGCCTTTAGTCTTACTTAAATTCTCCTTAAGATCTGTTTAAGGAGGTTGGTGGTAGTTAGGTGGGTCAGACAATTATAGTAATCATAGTTAATATTATTGAGAACTTTCTAAATTCCAAGTGTAGATTTAGTGTTTATGCATGCCAGCTCATTTGATTCGGACATCACCCTCTTAGATCAGTACTGTTATTGGTCTAGCTAACTCAAGGTATAATTCAGGAATATTAATAAACTTCCCAAGGTTTTTTAGAGAGTGTAGGCAGAATGAGGGTCTGTGAATGAGCTCACGAAACCTGAGGTTACAGACCACATATTATAAACTATGTACATATTTTTTTCTCCTGAAATATTCACTTAAGCTGTAAACCTCATGTTTTTTTGTGGTTCACTTATTCAGTAAGGGAGCAACCCAAATACCTGTCTTCCATCTCCACTGTTTCATGTTAGAAGTCAAATTCTGTGAAACACAGAAGCAGGAGTTGACTTGAAGCAAGAGCGTTCAGTACAAAGTCAACCGCCTGGGGCAGGTCAGCCACAAAGCTCTTTTATTTTGTGGCCTTACTTGAGAGGGGATCAGAATCGTAGGCTCTCAGTCCTGGACACCCTGCAGAGGACACCAAGAAACTTCAGTTCAAGGGCAGGGAGACTGTTCTCAAGAGATCCTGTTGGCCCTACCTGTCCATCAAGAGTCATAGACAGGTATTGGTGATATTTACTGCATTATCTCCTCAGATTTTATAATCATGCCCACTGGAGATGAAGCCTCTCCTAACCTGTCACCAGAGGCCAAATTACTCAACCATGTCACTCAGCTATTGATAGACAATGTATTTCAATGTTTTAAATGTCATTTACCATCCCTATTAGAAATCTATTGAATGCATTATAATCAACTTTGCATCTTTTACTGTTATTGATAAATGAATGTAACCATAAACAATAAAAGCTCTGAGGAGAAACTTGAACAGGAAATAAAAAGGCCATTTGACATGTGGCCCATGATGTGATTCAAAAACTAACAATTAGGTTCTCAAGTAGGCTGCTTTAATGGAGCTGAAGGGCTTTTGTTAGCCATGTCCTGAGAAACAGGGTGAGGATGATGATGCTAGTCCTTGTGGAGAGGCAAAGATGAAGTCTTCTAAAGATCCTATTAGAATCTCAGCAGCTGGCAGGCCAAGGCAGGGGCATCACGGCTTCCGGGCTAGACTGGACTGATAAGGAGAGTTTGCTTTAAGAAAGAGAAGGATTAAGTTAGAAAATAACCATCCTGTCATAGGTCAGTCAGTGAATATTAAAGCGAAAGTGTTTCTCTTCTGGGACTGGAGAGATGACTCATCAGTTAAGCGTGATTACTGCTCTTGCAGGGTATCTGAATTCTGCTCCCGGTGCCCTCTTGAGGCAACTCACAACCTTCTGCAACTCCATTTCCAAGAGATCCAACACTTCTGGCCTCCAACGGCCCCTGAATCCATGCGCATAGACTCAACCACACACCCACATACATATTATTAAAAACAATGGGCCTGAAGCCTGGGCTTAGTTGCAGAGGACTTGACTTCAGTTTCTATTACCTAGACCAGTTTTCTCAAACTTGGAGGAGCTCTGCTTCTGTGGCCTCTGTATCTGGCCTCTGGCCTCTGTACGCACAGTCACATGTGCACGCATTCACACATATACACACACAGTCCCACACCTTCACGTGATTAAAAATAATGAAAGTAAATCTCAAAACGTACGAGAAATAAATTTTCAAAAGGTCTGTTATCCTCGTGCACGTGTGTGCTCTTGGGAGCACACCACTATTTCAGAGTTCCGTGTACGTGTCTAGCAACCGCTTTCAAGGCATTCACGCTCATGTGCATATGCTCCCCGAACTATAAAACCAACCATTTTACATGCTCACTTCAGCGCACAATGCAAATATAGCAACAAACCACTGCGTGCTTATGTCTCCATCTATGTAATTTAAGTAGCCATAAATGAAAGCATCATATTGTAGGGTAATGTGAAGGGAAAGTTTCAGGATTATTTGAAAGATTTGTAGCTTTGCACAAATTAGCCGTGATGTGATATGGTCTAAACATTCATTAACACAATTCTCAAAAAAATTTCAATGGATTCAGGGGAGGCTACCCAGGGATTTGTTTTATTTCAGATTTCATGGAATAAAAGACTAATGGTAGTTCCTGGTACATTTGACCAGGCATTCAATGAGAAGTGTGCATTTCGCAGATGTTAATACCAAACCTTATGCATGGCAGCTATACACTCCTATAATAAAAAATTCAATTACGGATCAAAACACGATGAGACCACTTGGGGGCATATTTCATATGAATATTTCCTCTGCTTTGAATCTTAATTGCGTTGAATGCTCATTAAATAGCATTAGAGAAGTTTCCTAATTACGTTTAAAACTATAGATGAGGAACTTTGCAAATCATTTTTTCCCCTTTGAAGAAAAATGTTTACCTTTAGTCAAGCTGATGTGACAAAGTAGCATAGTTTGGGAATTATTTTAAATGTCCCCATTGCATAATTATTGGGCAACACCCGATTTTCTCTGAAGGTCACACTCCTGTACTTTCACATGCTAGGTTATTACAAGGTGATGTGATAATTAGATATTCTGGGATGGGTACCACAGGATACCACATCATACTTACAAAGGTCTTAACATTTAAATAGCTCCCTCCTTTTCCCTAGTTCTTCCTACCATAAAAGTAAGCTAAATTTTCATTTTGATCTAATAATCTCCTTTCTCCTTTGGTGATAAAAAACATCATTTTTTGTACATTATCTCTTTCATCTATATTAATTTGCAAAGAAAAGAAGGATGGATTTTGTTTTAAAATATAAATGTTACCTGTTCTCTTGGCTAGCGCTGCACATAGACTTGGGGATCTATTGTAAATCTTTTTAAAATTTGAGAGATTTGTTTCGTGTTATTTCATTTATGATGTCTTTCTCTTCTCTCTCTCTCTCAGCTGTCTATGAGCAGTCATGCGAAGCCTATAAGCACCAAGGAAATGCTTCTGGATTTTACTACATCGACTCAGATGGAAGTGGCCCTCTGCAACCATTCCTCCTATACTGCAACATGACTGGTGAGCTAACATTCTTCCATTTGCTAGCTAAATCTGCTGTAACGGACTAATTGCACAAAAACTCAAATGAAATAAATACAACGTTGGTCTAATTTGCAGCATGATTGAAGTGGGTATTTTTTTCTATTTCCTTTTTCTGTTGCTGTGATAAAACGCCCTGACAAAAGGCAACTTAGGAGAGAAAGGATTTATTTTACTTTATAATTCTAGATTATTGTCTATCCTTGGGGGAAGCCATGGCAACAGAAGCTTGAAGCAGCTAGTTGCATCACATCCCCGGCCAGAGACGGAGAGCATGAATACAGCCATGCTTCGTGCTCAGCCAACTTTTACTACTCTTACACGGTCTAGCAAATGAAACGGTGCCACACATGGTGGCCTAGGTCTTTCCAGAAGAGAATCACCCACAGATAGGCACACAGATCAACCTGATCTAGATAATCCCTCATGGAAACACTTTTCCCAGGAGATTCTAGACTGGCAAGTTGACAATAAAAACTAACCATCACAGAACTATTTAGTAACAGGGCAACATAAATATTGAACAGTTGTGTTAGCTAAATGTTAATAATTTACAATATTGTTAGTCTGTGTGCATATGGTATCTGAGCAGTATATCTAATAATAGTTGTTTCCTATTATGTCTCAAAACACAAGCCTTTGTCAGAGAAATCGATGGCCAGAATAGAAAGATCTGGAAAAAAAACAATCATCATTGTTTAAAATATGTGCAGCTATGAAATTTATTTGTTTTCTAAAATTATTATTCTACATAAATACAGACATAAATTAACAGTCATAGAAAAATGTGTTTGATTAAATTCAACATCTACCAATGATTCAAAAAGAAACAGAGTGTTCACAAACATCTTTAAACATAGGTAACAGCCTGTAAACACTGAGAACTTCCCCTCTTGCCAGCGTGAAGATAATTTTGTTCACCACTGCTGGAAGATCTTAGCCAACATAAGAGGATGAGAAATCATAAGAAAGGGAAAATACGGTGTATAATTTTCACTATTCATAGATTGTTAACTTAGATATTAAAAATACTCTGAAGTACCCTAGTAAACACTTTTAATTAACACTAATTACTGGATCCTACGTTAACATAAAATTGTTTGTTTCTAGATACCAGTACTATGCAATTAGAAAATGACCTTTTAGAAGATTGTATCTCCAACAGCCTTAAAACTCTCAAACACATGGCAATAAATTCAATAGAGAATATGCAAGGCTTCTAACAGATAAATATAAAATACTCTTTATATGATTTAAAATCCTAGAGGTATAGAGGAATATAAAATTTTCATTAATTAAGAGACTCCACATTGTAAAATGTCAGTTCTTGCAAGATTGATATTGATTTTTAGCACAAACGTAAATTAAAATTCCAGCAGGGTGTTTGTTTGTAGGTTGGTGTGATTGTTTTGGTGAGTACGGATATGCAGATTTTATACTTCATGGGCACACATGAAAAGGTCATAAAAAAACCAGTCTTGAAGAACAGTGCTGAAGAACTCAGTTCTATCAGGTATAAATATTGGTAAATAGAACAAAAGAATGACTTCATAAGCTGATACACTCATATCTAGATAACTGACATTTACCAAGGTGATACTGATAGGCAATGAGAGAAAGATAACCTTCTCAACATTTGACACCAAGGGAAATAGTATATAAACATCAAAAAAGAAGATATAGCTATTCTTTATCACATACCGAAAGATGAATTCCAGGTGTATTGTTTTGTCTCATATGCCAGCCACATATGACTTAAGTTAATTAACATTAATTTCAAGGTTCAGTAAATTCAAATGTATTTTACCAATGTAAGCAAATATAAGTACTTTAACTAAAACCAAATAGTTGCAAAAAAAAAAATCCAAATAACTGCTGAGTCACCTGTGGCTAGGAAGCAGTGTGCTATCATCATGGCATAGAAAATTTCAGGGCAGGAAGTTACACTGCACAGTGCTGTGGTAGGACAGCCATTGAAGCAAAGGGAAGCATAGCAAAGGCAAAGAGGCGATTCTGAATTGAGTCATTCATTGTAGAGGAAGATTTATAGTCGTGAATATCTAAGAAAGAGACTGCCAGATAGAAGTGATAGCAAATGCCAAGGCATATTCAGAAACCAGTAATAAAGCCAGGTTAGCTTGAGGATGGCCAGTGAGTGAGGCATAGTGAAAGATGAGGAGAGATTCAACTAGAGGGCAGAAGAAGAGAGAGAACTATGGGGCCCTTACCACAGTGCCTTAAGGTCTTTGGGTATTGCGCTAAGTGAGACAAGATAATTTTGGCGCACTTCAAGCACAGTACCATGTAATGTGCACAACCTGAACTCCCTTGATGGGGCCGTGGTTGCTCTCACAGAAGCCTGTCCAGGGGCAAGGATAAGAGAGAGAGATACAGAGTTAAAGTTAGAAGACCCTTTAGAAAGCTAGGCTATATTAGTTACTTTCTCGTTATTTTGGTAGCACTAAGGCAACATACAGAAGAAAGGAGGGTTTTTTTTTTTTTGGTGAGGGTAGGTTGTTTACAGTTCTAGTGGGAGAGATTCCAAGATGGCAGAGCAGAGGCAGCAGGTAGCTGGGAACAGCAGCCAGGAACACACATCTTACACTACAAACAGGAAGCAGAGAGCCCACTCAAAGTGACAGCAGCATCTTCTGAAATCACAAAACCTGTCCTCAGTGACATGCTTCCCCCAACAAGGTCACACTTGCTAATCTTGTCAAAAACAAACAAACAAACAAACAACAACAGCAACAACAAAACGTTTTAAAAACAAAACAACCAGCTGGGGATCAAGTATTCAAATGCCAGAGACTTATGGGGGGCAATTCATTCAAATCATCCCAGCACATGTCCACGGACAGGCTGATGACAGTGCTCTTGCCCTTGACCATTGCCAATGCAGATGGGGAAGAAGACTAGCTTTGTGTGTGGGATACATATGAACTATAAGAAAACACAAAGAACCGTAATCTACTTGGGCAACCGAAGCGTTTGCATGGGATCAGATGGGATCAGAAGAGGGTTTGAGCAGACAGCAGAAACTTCGTTTAACTCATTTCGAGTTGAAGATGTCTGCCACACAGTCAAACACGGAGTGAAGGAGATGGCTGGATCGGGGGCAACAATACATCTATGTTAATACATAATTCTGAAAACTGCAGGGCAGTGGTTAAGCCTGGGCTCTTGATTTTTCTGGCCTAAGAATTACTGTAGAGCATTATCTTTCGAGAGTTTTCAGACATACTGCTTGGTGGCGTCATGAATTGGCAACCGCTGAGGAAACTGTTCTAGAGAACAAACCAATCTAAAACACATGCTGATTCGACAAGCTTATCTCTGCTGTGTCCCTGCACAGTCTGTCGGCCACATATTCCCAAACAGTCACCAAGGGTTTCTTTCCCAGATGTCAGGAGGGGCATAGGACCATGGACAGTCTTTTCAAATGATTATTGTGTATGCACAGATTTGGAGTTGCTGTTCTCGATATATGGCTCTCGGATTTTTGTGTGTACAGATTGATCTGCTCTGTAAACTTAGACACAGTGCCAGTGAAAAGAGTCCACATACAACAAGGGATGACTCTGTCCATGTAAGATATGTGCTTGAGTGTCCAAATTAATTTTTAAACTTGTGCAGTTCTTATAGGACAGTGAGAATTAACTGTAATGCCCTGCAAAGCTATAAAAAATCAATGTTCCTATGAATGCTTCATGAGCTATTTGTCTACATATGAGGTATTAGTTGTGATTCTGAAAATAAGATCTCTGTAAATTAATAAATTATCTGTTCTCCGAGGCTTCCAGAAACACACACACACACACACACACACACACACACACACACACACACACCCCAGCAGCAGCAGCAGCAGAGCGCAAGATAGGAGAGTCATTTTTTGATTTGTGGTAGTCGTGTTCCATAAAGTCACTATGGACATTAGATTAAAAAATACTAAATCATTGCTCCTAAGAGGAACGTAGTAAGATAGGTTTTCAAGAGCCTCTGGTAACAGCATTCTCCTCAATAGATCAATAGTTAATCTTGTTTTATATGTGTTTAAGGTTAAAGACTTTACACACATGCACACGTACACATGTCCTCACACGCATGAGCACACACACACACACACACACACACACACACAAACGCACTCACACAGAACGGAGAGGGAGGGAGCGATGAGGGAAAGATATCTGTGATTCATGAACATTGAATTTGTGGCCTAAAGCATTGTAACTCAATGCTGAGCAGAGCTAACCTAACGTGTTTTATGTTTAAATCATGGATCGGGCTTAATGACGATTCTCTGCACCTCAGCAGTATTAAGGGGCATTTTAAACAGCAATATCATCAACCAAAAGAGAGAAGGGGAAGGATTACAAAATAGACCATAACTACATTCATTTCCAATATGAGAACTGAAACAGGAGGCTGGGAGCAGCTGTTTCTTCAGCTCTAGCTGAATTCCAATTTTTTTGCTACTCTGTGCATGACTACAAATGACTAGAAAATGTTGGGGTTACAAATAAATTTTTAGCAAGTGGGTGAACTCACAAATAGTGAAGATCTATAAATGATGGGATCAACTATCTTGCATGCTACTATGGATAATAATTCAGGCATGTATCACCGCATGGAAATTACTGAATTACATCTGCCAGATGTTGAGGGCAGAGACAGTTGTTCAGGGACGGCTCCTTGTCTCTAGAACCTCAGAATATTGAAACATAGTCCAACAAAGGAGGCAACTCAGAATATAACAACTCCAGCCAGAAGCAGACGCATGTTACAGTGTAAAAGTCTCCTTGGTTTTTCACTTTTGCAAATGAGGAGACTAAGAGTTAGCAACCGTCAGTGCGGCAGGCTGGTGTTATCAGGCAGAACAGGCAAGAACTCAAATCTTGGTCCTCTTTCTTGCAGCCTGAAGCCTTTCCCACCTTTGATCAGTGCCCCGTTGCTTGTCTCTTCTTGTTACCCAA